CAGCAATATCGCTATGGAATATCACCTCCAGCTCCAGCAAACCTTCAGGAATCCAGTTTATCCAGTTTCTTTTATTGTATTCCCCCTTTTTCTGGTCTCTTCCCATTGCTTCAGAACTTCCCAAAAATTATCCCAGTCCCTGCTCCTCTATTTGGTCCAAATCCCGGGATAATGGTTAATAAATAGAGAAGAAATGAAGGCAGCTGCTTGGAAAAATCCCCCTTTCCACAGGCAAGAATAAAAATAATCCAGAGCTTTACAAGATCTCACTCGTGCTCCAAGGATTTTTGAGTGTTAGACATGGAATCTTGGAATCATTAAGGTTGGAAAGCCCTCTAATCATCCAGTTGTTCCCTCAAATCCCAGGTACGTGGTGACAAAGTGGTTTCTCCCCCATTCCTTGACTCAGGAGCAATTTGAGAGGATCCAGCAGTGCCCAAACAGGGAATAATGGAATCACTGCTGCCATGGGATAACCTAGAATTTGGCAAAGGAAAGCTAATCCCTCGCTCAGTCAGCACAGCAATGGCTCTTGGGATTAAAACAAGGGTTTGGAGAAGGTCTGGAATGCTCCTTCCTTGAAGAGTCAAGTGATAGGAGAGGTTATGGATCATGGATCATCTTTACACTTGGAGCTGCCTCCCAAAAATCCCAATTGCCTTGTTTTTTATGGAAAGGCTCAAGCGTCGCTCTGGGAAACAACTGATCCTGAATCTAATCCAATTGCTGGAATGATCCATGAGCTCCTTTGGAGGGTTTAACAAGGAAAACATTCCCACCCAAGGCAAAGCTGCCCAGGAATTCTGTGGGAAAGCATCACTTCCTCTCTCCCAGAGCTGGGAAAAAGCAACACATGGAGGTTCCTAACAAGCCTGGAAGGGTCAGAATTACCCAAACCAACCTCTGGAAAACCTTTGGAGCCCTTGGCTCCACTCTCCACGTGGATTTTCCATGGAAAAGCAGTACCTGGTAGACGAAGCAGATGGTGGGAGCTTGGCATCCATAGAGGAATTTGACGTCGATGACCTGGAGCTCTTCCAGGCGGATGTTGAAGGCCTTCAGTTCCTTGTTCTCCCTGTCCAAGGGAATGACCTTGAAGAGGCCATCGTAGAGCCGGAGCCCGATCATCCGGCACTCGGGATCGATGATCCCAATGATCCCGGTCTCAGAGGGGCGGCCGATGCGATCCTGGGGGACAAATCCATGGAGAAGGGAAGGGAAAAGGGGATTAGCGCCAGGAAAAGATCCCTGAGGGGCTCCAGAAAAAACAGCCCCCAGAGTTCCAGCTGGGAAACCACCAAGCCTAAGGAGATGCTTTTCCACCTGGAATTGCTCCCGCACCACTTCTTCTCTCCTGGGAATCTGGCACTGTGGGATCAGCCCCTAAACCTGGTTTTCCAGCCCCAACTCTGCACTGGATGATCCAGAGGAGCCACATCCCTTTCCTGGTCTCTGCTTTGATATCCATGACCAAACATCCCCGTCCCAAAATCCAGCGCTGTTATCTGCTCCCACAGACCCCTTGGAGTTCCTTGGCTGGGAATGACTTCAGCACCTCCACATGCCAAGGACTTTTTCCAAACATTCTTGACAGGAGATTCTCACCTCCACCTCCTGCCCATCACTCCCAACATCACCCCAGCAAACAACAGCCACAAATTCCCAAAGAACTCATTTCCCAGGGAAAATTGGACCTTACTAATTTTCCTTAAATTTCATTTATTATCCCGTACTTATTATTCCCAAGAACACAGATGTGTCCAGGTCGGAGTGTCCTGATCTAGGGAAGGTGCCCCTTCCCATGGTAGAGGGTGGAATTGGATGAGCTTGAAAGGCCCACCCGAACCATTCCAGGATTCCATGTGCTGCCTAAATGGGATATTGGGAATAAATCCTTCCTTGTGAGGGTGGTGAGGCCCTGGAACGGATTCCCAGAGAAGCTGTGGCTGCCCCATCCCTGGAAATGTCCAAGGCCAAGTTGGACAGGGCTTGGAGCAGCCTGGGATAGCGGGAGGTATCCCTGCCCATGGCAGTGGGGTGGGACCGGGTGGGATTTAAGTCCCTTCCATCCCAAACCATTCCATGTCCTATTTAGATGGAATATTGGGAACAAACCCTTCCCTATGCAGGGTTGTGAGGCCTTGGGATGGATTCCCAGGGAAGCTCTGGCTGCTCCATCCCTGGAGCTCTGGCTGCTCCATCCCCGTCCAGCTTGGACGGGAACAACATTCCCTGCCCGTGGGAAGGAATAAGCTTTCATTGGATGAGCTTTAAGCTCCTTCTTCCAACCCAAACCATCCCAGAATTCCAGGAATCCTCACAGAGACCGAAAATAACTCTGAAAGCACCCAAGGCACCAGGCGACTTGTCCCAAATCCAGCAGCACCCACAGCACCTCCAAAAAACCGGCAGGAATCCAGCCGCAGCACAGGGCTGGGAATTCCCATTCCCGGCGATCCGGCCGCCCTCACCTGCACGTTGCCGTGGGCGCGGGTGATGATGTCGATGCTGTCGCCGCTCTGCTTGTACTCCAGGATGCAGGCGTTGTACTTGGCCGTCAGGATGAACAGCAGGTCCTTGCTCTCCCCCTGCGCGGGAAACGTGGGCGCCGCCCGTTCCAGAGGCCGTTCCGCGCCGGGAAAATCACCCCTCCCCAGCACATCCCACCCCCCCCGGCCTCGGGGCGCTCTCCCGGGACGCACCTTGGGGCGGAAGAGCTCCATGACGGCCGTCTTGCCGTACATCCCCACCTCCTTGACGGGTCGCAGCCCCTCGGCCGTGACTACGTAGATCTCCAGCCGCGTGTTCTTGGCGATCAGCAGGTTCAGATCCTCGGAGGAGGTGAAGTGGCCTGGGAAAAGTGGGAAGGCCTCAGGGATCACCTGCCGCCTCAGGGATCGTCTGCTGCCGCAGCTCCCGCTGATCCCCGGTTTGCCTCCTGAAATCCCCAATTCCTCCCCCGCAGCCCCCTCGGGAACTGCGTTCCCGGAGCTCGGGCTCCACGTTTTGTCCCAGGAATCCCTTTCCTTGCTGCCTTTCCACAGGAATTCTCACTCCCTACTGTAGAGCTCAGGGACTCCCCTGGATCCCCATTTCCAGCATCCCAAAATCTTTCTAGGATCCCCAAAATCCCCCAGGCCCTCCCCATATCCAAAAACTTCCCCTGTATCTCCAAAACCTCTCCGTACCCCAAAACCCCCTGAGACCCCCAAACCACCAAACCCCCTCCACATCCCAAATTCCCCTCCAGTGCCCCTAGACTCCCCCATCCGAAACCCCCCCAGGACCCCAAAGTCTCACTGATACCCCCAACCCTCCCTGTAGCCCCAAAACCCCCCTGTACCCCAAAATCCCCCCATATCCCCAACCTCTTCCCCCCATACCCCAAACCCTCTCATATCCCAAAACCTCTTGGAACCCTCAAACTCCCCTCATATCTCAAACCCTCCTGTATCCACCCCCCCACACACACACTCCGGGGCCCCCACCCCCCCCGCCCCCCCCAACCCCCCCCGTACCCCAAACCTCTGTCTGCGAACCCCAACTCCTCCACCCTCTTCCCCTTCGACCCCCAAACCCCCCAGCCCCTGGTATCCCCCATACCCCAAAACCCTCCCGGAGCCAACACCTCACCCTAAACTCCCCCGGGACCCCAAAATCCTCCGGAACCTTACCCCACTCCCCATACCCCAAATCCCCCTCCGGACCCAAATCCCCCCCGCGCCCTCAACCCCGCACTGACCCCCCAGGAGTCCTAGTCCCCCTCAGAGCCCCCGGGACCCCCAAAGCCCCCCCCGGACCCCCAAAACCCTCCCGGGACCCCAAACCGCCCCGCGCCACAACTACCCCGTTGCCCCCCAGCACCTCCATCTCCCCGCACTCCCCGTACCCCAAATCCCTCCCGGGTGCCCCCAACCCCCACCGGAGACCCCAAAACCCCCCGTCTGGGGACCCCCCAATCCCCTCCGGTACCGAACCCCCCCAAATCCAGGGGTGTCCCCCCCAGCCGCCGCCGCGCGGTACCGGTGACGCAGCCATTGACGGCCGTCGGCTTCTGCGCCGTCACCACGTAGTTGTAGGACATGTTTGGGGGTCCCGGGGGATCCCGGGGGGGGCCGAGAGCGGAACCGGGGAGGAACCGGGAGCGCAGCCGCTCCGCGCCGCCGCCGCTTCCGGCGGAAATAGCTGCGCGTGGCCGCTCTGGCCCGCCGGGAAGGCCGGGGAGGAGCAGACGAGACGAGGCCGCTCCAGCCGGCTGGGAGGACCGCGCGGAGCAGACGAGAGGCGCGGCTGGAGGACCGCGGAGAGCGCAGGTGCGGAGCGGGGTGCGGGGGGGGCTCCCCCCGAAAGCCACGGGATTCCCGGGGATCCCGGCCCCATGCCGGCCCCGTCCCGGCCGTGTCCCGCGGAGAAGGCGGGTGCGGACCCCTCCCTGCTCCTTGCACTCCCCCCAGCACGGGGGGACTCCAAAATCCGGGGTGGGGGTCCCCGGGATATTCCCACCTGTATCCCACCCTGATCCCACCCCATATCCCGAGGGGATCTTGCTCCCCATCCCAAAAAGGGGTCCCTGTTTTCTGGGGGTGGCCCCATCCTTTTTCTCCCCTTCCCAAAAGGGGATCCCTCTTTGGGGATTGTCCCATCCTCATCCCCCGTCCCAAAAAAGGGGATCCCTGTTTGGGGAGGTCCCTTCTGGAGAGGATGTCCCATCCCAATCCCCCATCCCAAAAGGAGGTCCTGTATGAGGGTGGTCTCATCCTCAGCCCCCATCCTAAAAAAGGGGATCTCTGCTTGGGGTGGTCACTGTTTGGGGGGTCCCATCCTGATCCTCATTCCCTAAAATGGGATCCCTTCTTGACAGGGGGTCTCCATTTGGGAACAGCCCCATCCCCAGCCCCCCATTCCCACCAGCCCTCCCATCCCACCCTGTTCCCTTCCCACTGTCCCTGTGCCAGGACCTCCCTCGTGTCCAGCCTGGACCTTGCCCTCTTACCCAACAGATTCCAGCCCCAAGTCCAAGAGTTGCGCAGGATCCTACCCTACCATGGAGGTGAGGCCGGGACAGGGGGGTCACCAATCCCCCTTTTTCCTCTACTTACCACCCTTGGTTCCCCCAGATTCCCAAAAAACTGGTGAACTCGGTGTCCGGCTGTGCCGACGATGCCCTGGCCGGGCTGGTGTCCTGCAATCCCGGGCTCCGGCTCCTGCAGGGCCACCGGGTGATCCTGCGGAGTGACCTCTCGGCCGTCCGTGGCCGTGTGGCCCTGCTGTCTGGAGGGGGCTCCGGCCACGAGCCGGCCCACGCAGGTGAGACCCCGCAATTCCCGCTTCCCGGAGCCTCCCGGCACGGAGACAGCGCCGAGCTCCCAATCCCGCTCCGCAGGATTCATCGGGAAGGGAATGCTGACCGGAGTGGTGGCTGGAGCCGTGTTCACATCCCCATCCGTGGGCAGTGTCCTGGCAGCCATCCGGGTGGTTGCACAGGCGGGAGCAGGTCGGGAATACACCGGGATGCAGCTTTGGGATTCCTGTCCCGGAATCCCTGCGCTGTCATTCCCTTTCACCCCGTGTCATTCCCGTGCTTTCCATATCATTCCCATTCTCTCCGTGCAATCCCCATTCTCTCCATATCATTCCCATTCTCTCTACGTCATTCCCATTCTCCCCATGTCATTCCTGTTCTCTCCGTGTCTTTCCCATTCTACATCATTCCTGTTCTCTCCATGTCATTCCCGTTCCGTCTGTGTTGTTACTGTTGTCTCCGTGTCATTCCCGTTCCTCCCGCATCATTCCCGCAGTCGGGATCCTCCTGATCGTGAAGAACTACACGGGGGACCGGCTGAATTTCGGGCTGGCCCTGGAGCGGGCGCGCTCCGAAGGGGCCGACGTGCGGATGGTGGTGGTGGGAGACGACTGTGCCTTCACCGCGCCTGGAAAAGCCGGGAGACGCGGGATCTGCGGCACCGTCCTCATCCATAAGGTCCTGCCAGGGCTCCTTTACGAGGATTTTTGGAATTTGGGGGATTTTGAGGGTCGCTCATCCCATGTTGTCCTTGGCAGGTGGCGGGAGCGCTGGCGGAGGCAGGAGCAGGTTTGGATGAGATCGTGGAGAAGGTGACGGCAGCTTCCAAAGTCATGGGTGTGTTGTGGGATCCCATTATCCCATGGGAATGCTGTCCTGTGTCACTCCGACCCGTCCCTCCCAGAAAATCAGCCCCATTACCCCTATCTCTCCTGGAAAATCAGCCCCATTCTCCCCATTCCTCCTGGAAAATCAGCCCCATTTCCTCCTGGAAAATCAGCCCCATTCTCCCCATTCCTCCTGGAAAATCAGCTTCCCTCCAGCCCCTGTCCCTCCTGGAAAATGAGCCCCTCCCCTCCTCGCCCCATTTCTCCCGGATAATCAGCCCCATTCCTCCAACCCCCCTGGAAAATGAGCCCCCTCCATCCCCGCATCCCAAATCCCAGCAGGTTTAACAGCACATTCCTTCCCGTGCAGGTACCCTGGGTCTCAGCCTGTCTCCCTGCAGCATCCCGGGATCCAAGCCCTCATTCCAGCTGGCTGAGGATGAGATGGAGCTGGGGCTGGGTGAGGAAGGACTCCCTGGATCCCACTCTGGATCCCTCCCAGATCCCTGGGGGGGCTGAGATTCCCTGTCCCCCATGGGAAGTGTGAGATGTGACGCAGCCTCGTCTCCCTAGGGATCCATGGAGAGGCCGGAGTGCGCAGGATGAAGGTGAGGGGGGATCCCACTGTGTCCTCCCTATTCCCCAGATCTCCTCCGTATTCCCACATCCCCCCACTCTGCTTTTCCCACCTTCTGTGTCCCCTCCAGGTGCTGCCTGCGGATGAGGCCGTGGAGACGATGCTGAAGCACATGACGGATCCATCCAATGCTTCCCACATATCCCTGACCCCTGGTGAGCTCCCCTGGATCCCCCCCGCCCCCCAAATCCCTGATCCCGGTCTCATCCCACCCCTCATCCCTCAGGGTGTTCCGTGGTGCTCATGGTGAACAATCTGGGTGGGTTATCCTGCCTGGAGCTGGGAATCGTGGCTGGAGCCGCCGTGCACAGACTGGGTGAGTGTGGGGTTTCTTGGGATCCCCTTCCCTGGCTCTGGACCTTCTGGAATGACCTCCCCTGGCTCCCGGATCCCACAGAGAGCCGAGGGATCCGCATCGCCCGGGCCTTGGTGGGATGCTTCATGACAGCACTGGAGATGGCCGGAGTCTCCCTCACCCTCCTGGTGGTGGATGAGGAGCTGCTGCGGCTGATCGGTGAGTTCCTGGCGGGAATGTGGCCTGGGATGGGCACGCAGGGGTCTCCAGGTGCTGGGTAACGGGACACGACGTGCCCGGGAGAAGAATTCCTGGCTGCTGGACATGCCTGGAAAGGGGACACAGCTGGGTGACAGGCACAAGGGTCAGTGGGATGTCTGGGAGTGGAATTCCTGGCTGCTGGATGCACCTGGAATGGGGACACAGGAGTCTCCAGGTGCTGGGTGATGGGACATGAAGTGCTTGGGAGAGGAATTCCTGGCTGCTGGATCTGCCAGCAAGGATCCAGGAGGATCCTGAGCCACTGTCACCTCCGGCTTTTCCAGATGCCAAGACCACGGCCATGGCTTGGCCCAACGTTCCCGCGGGACCGGCGACCGCCCGGAGAGAGGAGATTCCAGCGCCGATGGATGTTCCAGGGCAGCCGTTGGATGAGACCAGCACAGGTTCGGAGCTGGAATCCCTTTTGAACCCTCCTGTGCCTCGGTTTCCCTCAGGAATGTCTCCTTTCCGCAGGGCCCGGAGCGGTGCAGGTGCAGCGGGTCCTGGAGCGGGTGTGCAGCACTTTGCTGGATATCCAGGATAAGCTCAACCAGCTGGATCGGAAAGCAGGAGATGGGGATTGTGGCCACACACACGCCCGGGCGGCCCATGGTGGGTGTGGGAATATCCAGGGAATTGTGGGGAGAGGGTGTCCCAGCCAGCACCGCCCAGGAGTGGGGAGTTCACCAGGATGTCCCTTCTTGGGATTTGGGAACCCTGAGGTGCCTCTTTCTATGGAACAGGGTCCTCATGCCCTGGGAGTTGTGGCTCAGGAATGCCCTATGGAATTGGGGGTGTCCTTGCTTATCCCAGGAGTGGGGGCTTCCTTTCTTGGGATTTGGATCCCTGAAGTGCCCCTCCCTAGGGAATGGAGTCTCCACAGGGAGCTGTATCCCTGGAACGTCTCTGCTTCCAGAGGTAGCTGCCCCATGGAACTAGGAGTGTCCCCGCTTGTCCCAGGAGTGGGGATTTCCCTGGGACACCCATTCGTGGGATTTGGGACTCCCAAGCTCCCCCTTCCATACCCTGGGAGCCACAGGCCAGGAATGTCTCTACATCCAGTGGCAACTTCCTCACGGCATTCCTGCTTGTCCCCACGAGGGACAGGAATCCCCATGGAGCCCAGGACCACCCCCCATCCCGCTCTTTCCTCCATTCCTGCAGCCATCCGGGAATGGATGCGCTCCCAGCCACCTCCGGCCGCCCCATCCCAGCTCCTCTCCTGCCTGGCCGACCTGCTGCTGGAAAAGATGGGAGGCTCCTCCGGAGTGGTAAGTGGGAATGGGAATGCGGGGAGACACCTGGAAGTGTTCCCAGGGTGGGGGTGACCGTATTCCCAAAGCTCTACGGGCTGTTCCTGACGGCGGCCGCCCGGACCCTGCGCGGCCGGAGTGATCTCGCGTCGTGGGCCGATGCCATGGATTCCGGGATTGACGCCATGCAAAGGTCAGTGCCTGGGGCTCTGGGATCCCAAACCCCCCCAGGAATCCAATTCCAATATCCCTGCATCCAACACAGGTATGGAGGAGCCGCTCCAGGAGACCGGACGATGGTGAGTTCCAGAATCCCATGGGATACCCGGGAGCCGAGGGGAAATTCCAGGGGGTGCCGGGGGGTTCCAGCCTGGCCTCAGCGCTGGCTCCCAGCCCCGTTCCCGTTTTTCCCAGCTGGATTCGCTGTGTGCAGCCGCAAAGGCTCTGCATTCCCTGCGCGTTCCCGGGGCCGACCCGCTCCAGGTGCTGGAGGCCGCGGTGCAGGTATGGAGAGCCCAGAGCCGGGATGGTGGGACAACTGGATGGGAATCCTGGAAAACATCCCGGTTTTCCCTGGCAGAGTGCCGAGGTGGCGGCGGAGGCCACCAAGCACATGGAGGCCGGGGCGGGAAGAGCCAGTTACATCCGCTCATCCCGGCTGGAGCATCCCGATCCCGGGGCCGTGGCCGTGGCTGCCGTGCTGAGGGCCGTGCTGGGGGGGCTGCGGGACCCCCCGGCCACCCCCAAGTAGTGTATCCCAAAAACCTCCGTGTCCTCCGTAGTGAGAGGGATGTGGATCCCAATAAACCTTAGGAGACGTGTCCCCCAGTAACCCTTTGTGTCCCCCCACACCAATGGGGATGTAGATCCCAAAAAATCAGTGTCCCCCTCTAAATCTCTTCGTCCCTTCTTGGTGACAGGGGTGTGTATCCCAATAAACCTTTGGAGACGTGTCCCGCAGCAATTCTCTGTGTCCTGCCTCATGTGTATGCCAAAAAACCTCCATGTCCCCAGATAACCCTCCGTGTCCCCCTCGTGGTGAGAGGGACACGTATCCCAAAAAATCTTTGGAGACATGTCCCCCAATAACCTTCTGTGTCCCCCCATGGTGACAGGGACGTGTATCCCAAAAAACCTTTGTGGCCCCCAACAGCCCCCTGTGTCCCCCCCTCCGGGACAGGGACATGTTCTCCAACAGCCCCCTGTGTCCCCCTGTCGCTCCAGGCCGGGAAGGGGGACGGGAACAGGGATCGTGTGACTGTGGGGGAGGAAGGAAACACGAGGTGTGGAGGGGGAAGCACAGGGCTCACATGGCTCTGGCCACGGGGGCCGGAGGGAAGGAGAAGCAGAGATGGGGCAGAGTGTGACCCCAAATCCCGTGGGGCGACCACAGGGATCTATCCCACGTTTCCAGGGAGCAGAGGAGCTCTTGGAAGGCACGGCTTGGCTTGGCCAGGACCTGCTCCCAAGATCCTGCCACTCCCACCAATCCCACCCTGGCTCCACTTATCCCCATGGATTTGAGCGCAGGATTCCCACGGAAGCCACTGGTTTATTCCATGTCCATGAGGGCCCTGAGTGGCTCCATCCCTGTCCTGCTGAGCCAGATTCCCTGGATTGGGAGTGACACATGGGAATAACCCAGATGTTCCTCTTTGTCCTGATGAGGCTCTGGCAGCTCCAGGATGGCACCGGGAAGGGCTGGGGTTTGGCACAGCTGGAAATCCAGGCAGGAGCTGGCACGTGGAGGCACGAGAATGCAGGAGACACCCTGGGAGTGCTGGGAAATCCTTGGGATGGCAAGGATGCAGGAAACCCCTCAGGAATGCTGGGAGATCCTTTGGGATCAGCGCTCGGCGGAGAGCAGGGGCTGTGGGAAGACAGGAATCAGCCCGGATCCTTCCCCACCCTTAGGGCTGTGCTCCCAAATTCTGCTTCCCAAATCCACCCAGCGTGTTCCCGGTACCTGGCGGGAATCCAGAGAGTCGGAATCTGGGCGCTTCCAGCTGGGCCTGGCCAGGGCACCCACCACCAGCACCCCAAAAAGCAGGATCAGGATTCCCAAAGTGTTGGCAAACACGGCCTCAGCAGGAAGGAGCTTGTAGTGCGTGGTCCCGTTTTTCCTGGGAGGGAGAAGTGGGGCTGGGAATGTTCTGGATGTGTCCAGCCTTTCCCTAATGCAGCCAAAATCTCACCCCGAGCCTCCCAGTCCCTGCGAGGGCTCTTCCCAATCCCCCCTATCCCGGCACTCACAGGCTGAAGAAAAGCTTCTCGTTGATTCCCGACACACAGGAAGCCACAGACAACATGAGGATGGTGGAGCCAAAGAAAACATGGATGGGCTTGTACAGCTGCCGGAGCCAGGCGGGAGCCCAGGGAAGCAGGAACGTTCCAAATCCCGCCGCCCACTGCGGGAAAACTCAGTGAGGATGGGAAAACTCAGGATGCTGGGGGGGAGTTTGGGGGATCTGGGAGTGCTCCCACCTGGCAGGAGAAGAGCAGGACGGTTCCCAGCCCCATCCAGCTGTGCAGGGAGTACATGTTGGGTATCCCGTTGGAATTGTGGAAGCGGAACACGGCCGCTAACCCCAGCACGGTGAGGACGAACGCTCCCAGAGCCAGGCCGCCGTGCAGCAGCTTCCAGGGAAGCTTGGGGCCGCTCCAGGTGTTGGGAACACGGTAAACCAGGGCAGCTGTGAGGGAAAAAAGGTCAGGAAGGGGCGGCGCTGGGATTCCCGGCGCTCCCTGTGCTCACCTGCTCCGTAGAGAACCACCAAGCCCGTCACCATCAGCACCGGGTGCCAGTTGAAAGTCCGGGATCCGCCATCCAGGGAAAAGCCCCCGCGCCAGTGCTGGCACCAGGCGCCCACCAGGGCCACGCAGAGCAAGCCCAGGGATCCCAGGAAGGCGCAGAAAGGCGGGAAGGGAATGTCCAGCATGGCCACGGAGCGCTGGTGGCACCTGGGGACGAGAGAGGAGCCGGCTCAGGGTCGCAGGGTCCGAAGCCGCTCCGGGGAGGAGCCACAGAAAGGGGAACTGGGAACCCTGAGGGGGCGGGGGGGCATAGGGAACCAAAGGGAGGGGGGGGCCCAGACTGGGAAGGGTGACAAGGATGGAGCTGCTTCCCAGCCCAGGAAAGGTGACAGGGACAGAGCTGCTTCCCAGCCGGGGTTGGTGGCCGGGTTCCAGCTGCTTCCCAGCCCTGGGAAGGAGGTCAGGGATGGATGGACGAGTGGATGGATGGACACCCCCCAGGGAGGAGCCACGGAAAGGGGAAGCAGGAACCCTGAGGGGGTGAGCAGGCCCAGCTACTCCCTGGGCTGGGAAGGAGGCCAGGCACGGATCCAGGGGGTTGGTGGTGGCACCTGGGGACGGCTCCAACCGCGCTCCGACACCTCCCGCGGAGGAACCGCGGAAAGGGGAACTGGGAATCTCCAGGGGGTGTTGGGGCTCCAGCCTGCTCCCTGGATTAGCATGGATCCAGGGATGGAGCAGGATGTGCAGAGCCGAATTCCCAGGGAATGGCAGCGAGGGGCTCCCAGGGTCACTTGTCCCCGTGTCCCCCCCCCCGCAGGGGGTGATTGGCAGGAGCCTCATTTGCATGTGATTTGCATGTGCCCCCACAAAGGGCTATTTCTGGCCCCTCTGGGGGTGGGGGAAGTCCCGGCTCCCCAAAATCAGCTGCCCACGGGGCATTGGGGCGGGAAGGGGTGGGGACATGGGGCCCCACGGTTCCCCAAAACTGGGGACACAGGAACTCGTGGGTCCCCAAAACCTGGGAAACGGGACCCCACGGCTCCCCAAAATCCGGGACATGGGGCCACACGGCCCCCCCAAACCTGGGGCTCCCCCGAACCTGAGGACAGAGGCCCCGGCCCTGAAACGCCCCCAAACCCGGGCCAGGAGCCCCCTCGGCCCCTCCCGGCCCCCGGGGCCGCCCCCCGCCCCCGGGGCCGTACCTGGGCCCCACCGCCCCCGCCTCGTCACTGGGCGTCGCCATCTTGGCGGGCGCCTCTCTGCCCGCTCATCTCTATGGTACCGCCGCCAATGCGCCGCCACCGAGAGCGGCGGCCAGAGCGGCCCCGAGCGGCCGCTCCAGGCGCCACTTCCGGCGTCTCTTCCGGGCCTCTGCGGCTGTTGCCATGGAGATCAAGATGGCGGTGGCGGGTCAGCGCCCGGGGCGGGAGGGACATGGCGGGGACCCTCCGGGACCCCCAGGACGGGACACTCGGAACTCAGAGGGGGTTTGGGGGCACCGGGGGGCGACCGCGGGGGTGGGGAGCCGGACAGGGGAAAGGGGGAGGCGGAGGCGGGTGCCCCGGAGTGGTGGGGGGGTGTCTGTGTGAAAGGGGGGGTGACGTGGGGTCTGGGGGAGGGAGTGACCCCTTAATTCCCATATCCAGCCCTTCCTTCCACTTCCAGTCCTTTTTTTCCCTGTCCAACCCTCCCCCCCCCCTTTCCAACCACTTTTTTCGTACATCCAGACCTTTTCTAGGCTCCTTTCCAACCCCTTTCGTTCTCCATATCCAGCCCTTTTCCCCACGTTCAACCTTTCCCCTTTCATTTCCAGCCACTTCTGCTCTTTTCCATCCCTTTCCTGCCTCCGTGTCCAGCCCTTCTTCTCCCCCATTTTCAACCTTTTTCTCCTTTTCCATCCATTTCCCCACATTTCCATCCCTGTGTCTTCCCCTCAGAGAATTAGTTCTCCATCCCACCCCTCTCCTTCCAGGACATGGAGGATCCCTGATTTCCCACACCCCCTCCCTCCCTTCTCCAGCCGGGATGATCCCAGGGGGGCTGCTCCCATGGGATACATGGCCCAGGAGTGCTGTACCTGCTCCTGTGTTCCCAAATTCCCGGCTGTATCCTCACCCCTCTCCTCTGCCCGGAGTGGGACGTGCCCAAACCTGCTCCTGGAGTGTGTCCTGCCCGGCACTGCCCATGGAGCCGGGAATAACCTGCCTGGACGCTGCTCCCTGGGATTGCACGGCTCCCTCATCCCTGGATTTCCTCACGTGGAGATTTGGGATGGATTTGAAGGGGGAGGGGACACAGCTTGGTAGGTTTTCCTGGTTTTCCAGCTACCCATCCCAGCTGCCAAACAATCCCAGGTCCTGGATTTTGGGAAAGCCCCCAGGATCCATCCCACAATCCCTAAGTCCCCTTTCCAGATTCTGGATTTAAGGAGAGCCCCTAGAATCTATCCCAGCTACCAAAAAATTCCTGTATCCCTTTTCCAGGTCCTGGATGTTGAGAGAGGCCATGGGATCCATCCCACAATCCCTGTGCCTCCTCCAGGTCCAGGATGTTGGGAGAGGCCCTGGGATCCATCCCGGTTACCAAACAATCCCTGGGATCCATCCCACCAAACAAACAATCCCTGTGCCCCTTCTCCAGGTGTGGGATGTCGGGAGCGGCCCCGCTGAGCCCCCCCAGCGCCATGATCCGTCGGGAATGCTGGGGCTGAGCGCTCCAAGGCCTGGGAAAGGAGGATGCTCCAGCCCAGCAACTACAGCCTGGTGCTGTTCCTGCAGTTCCTGCTGCTTTCCTACGACCTGTTCGTGAATTCCTTCTCGGAGCTGCTCCGAACGGCTCCGGCCGTGCAGCTCGTCCTCTTCATGTGAGTACCGGGAAGGGGAGGGCGGGAGATCCCGGAGATCCCAAACGCCCCAATGCCCGTGATTTCCCGGCAGCATCCAGGACATCGCCATCCTCTTCAACGTCATCATCGTCTTCCTCATGTTCTTCAACACCTTCGTGTTCCAGGCGGGATTGGTCAGCCTGCTTTTCCATAAGTTCAAGGGAACCATCCTGCTCTCCGCTGCCTACCTGGCGCTCAGCATCTCCTTCCACGTCTGGATCATGGTAGGATGGGCTGGGAACAGCTGGATTCTCCCGAGGGATTTTCCCAGGAGGGCTCCCCTCAGGCCTTTCTTGCTGTCTTCCCCCGCAGTGACAGTTTGG